AGAACTTACTAATTTGGAGAAACAATTATTTCACCAGCAGATGGAGATGGCAATTCAGAACTCTGCCTACTTCAGAATAATGATATTTCATTTTCTGAGGAGTATCAAAGCATTTATTAGACAGATACCTGACTGATTTTTGGTGCATTTGACTGTCTCAGTATGCAGATAAACAAAAATTGGCAAAAGCACCTTTCATAGTATTCTCTGTACAACTCTTGAGCTAAATGGCAAAGGAAATGATGAAGAAAATGATGCTACTTCAGACCTGAAAGCTATCAAATAGAAGGGTTTGAACAAATTTATTTTAAAGAAAAGCTTTTTTTGGTTTTCATTTTTAAAGTCTGCAGACAGAAATACCCATCCTGTTACCTTCCCGATCTTTTTGCTTGTCATCTCTTTCATCAGGATTGTCATCTCCATCATCATCATCTTCATCATCACTATATTGACCAAGTGCATTGACCAGCTCAACAAATATTTCATCATTGATAAATCCACATTCTGAAATTCAGCAAAATTGGGAGTGAACAGAAAAGCACAAGGTGTATATGAAGTATTTTTAATCTTCCCTAAAAAAAATGCTGTAATTTATGAAAAACAATTTTGTACTTTTCTCCTCTTAGTTTCAATGTATGAACTGAGAAGAGTTTAAAATACTCAGTATTTATTTCTTAGACTGACAACTGGGAAAGTAAGAAAGAAACTTGTTGAAATTTTTCTTTTCCTGACTCCCTGTGCTTCATACCAGTAGACATGAATAAATCTCTTTTCCTTGGAAAAATAAAAAAATTACTTACTAGCTAGACTATTTAAGAGATTTTATGCCAGAATCCCAATTCCAACATGATTGGGGGTTAAGCCAGCCTGGCAATGCATTCAAACAGTCTATGAAGCTATCCTTTGACAGCTAGGGAATTTCCAGAGAGATTTGTGGTTGGTAGTTCCATAGCATCCACTTCCCCACTATAGACCCCACTGGCAAGGTGATAAAAAAGAATACAGTTATATAGGAAAAAAATCAAGAGAAAATTGAAGGATACAATGCTGCATATATCTGCTTATTAGCTTATATTCTGCTGTGAAATTCAGAGGGCAGCACAGATAGACAATAAGGCATTTCTGCAGAGAGGAAAATCGTAGTTAGTCTTGAGAGAGACTGCTGTTGTTTTTAAAAAAATAACCATGAACTGTGTGGGAATTGTAGTGCTTATCACCATCCTTTTGAACCCAGACTGGGGTTGGATGTCAAACTACAACTTGAAGGAAGCTAATAGTTTTATTCCCATGTAGACAATGAAAACAGGCAGGTACTTCATCTGGAGGTTTTAAACAGAACTCTTAATATACTCACACAGGTTAGTATGAATTTCTCTCTCAAAAGTGCAGTTACAGAGCTAGTTTACAATTCTGACTCCTAAATGGGAATGCTTCTGGATTACAGATTCCCACAGCATTTACATTTAATTACAGTCACACAAGAATACTAGTTACTGGGAGACCAAAAACCCATCTTTCTACTTTCAATATTTTGTTTTGAAGGACCCATAATAACAGTAATTGCCATCATAAACTTCAGACTTGAGACAGTGAAACGAGATTAATTTTAAAGCTGGACTCATTTAATAGTAAATTAAATCAATAGTAGAAGACATTTACTAGTAATGTCACCATTTTGACACAACCAGTTCTCTGACAAGGATGTCAGCAATCAGTAAATCTGTAAAAATACCCAAAGGCAAAACCCCATGAAACATTTCATGTTCCTCATGAAATATAAAGGCACCAGCTATTCTGAGGACATTAACAAGACTGGTGTAGGACTGAGTAGCATTTATTATTGAATCGCAGGCTTAACCTTTATGAGTGACACACAATGTACTCAAAAATGTAGTTCTTTTTCTCAGTCCCTCCAGCATTAACAGGAATATAATTAATTTTAAGAAACGATTCCCCATTTGTGGGGTGGGGGGAAGACAGATAATGTTTCTGTGAAGGGGGAAGCAGAGTAGTCAGAGAAACCTTTACAACTATAAAGGTTCAGGCTTGTATAAGCCAGTTCTGAGTGGGCACATAGAACAAGTGAGAGGTTGATACTTCACTGTGACTTCAGCAAACTAAGAGACAGATCACATCACATGTAGTCCAGCTCCCACACAGAATAAGAGGTAAACTACATCTAAGAATATATATATATAAAATGCACCAACAGAAGGATACAACTTTGCTCTATAAGCTGACTTATGGAAAGGACGTTTTTAAATACCTAATGATTTCCTTAAAGGAAAAAAAAACAAAACCCACAAGAGCTTATTCTATTGAATCGCATTCGCAAGTGTTGTCATTATCAGAATTTTGCATACTTCTCCTGCCACTTTGTGCTAGGCAGGACACACGTAGGGACATTACACTATTATATTCCAAAGTTCTGAGCACAAATTGGAAGATCAAGAACTTCTCCAAGTTGTACCTAGGCATTATGATGAATCACTGCATGGTCTAGGGAAAAATTTAATGTGTTTACTACTACTATAACACTTTGCAGCCTTAAGAAAATGCAAAGCAATATATTTAAATAAGGAAGTCTTATATCTTATGTTTACACAATGGAGGGATCCTAGAGATACTACTGTAACAATCAAGCATCAGGCCTTAACAAGCAACACGGACAGCAATTATTTATGTAGGAAGAAGTGATTAGTATACCTGAGTGTTTGGGCTCACCTCTGTCTCCATGCACTTTCCCATCATAGTTCTTGATCAGTTCTTCAATAAAGGTACCATCCTGGTCAAGCACTTCATCTCCCATATATGGAATGTTATGTAAAACAGTTTCATCCTCTACCTAGTAACAACAGTTATAATCAAACAATTTTAAATTGCCTTTTCAATTGACCATTCCTGCATTGCTGTTTTTACATTCTACAAGTGTCTAGCTATCACAGTTAACTAACTGGCTTCACTGCTTTAGCACATTTACCATTAACTAGATAAATAAAACAAAACCCTCATCTTTGTTCAACAATTTTTTGCACTAGTGGTGACTGGCTCAAGATACTGACACTAGCTCCTAACATTAAGGTTAGCAGTGTTTCCACAAAGCTTCTACTACTGAAACACAGTAAGCTACCTAGCTTTGGGAAGCTTGCATTTGATAAGTTCATTCTCCCTTCCTTGGTTCTCTTCCACAGTAATGCGCAATGGAAACCACGTCTTCATTGCTTTGCCAGAGATAAGAAAATACGATACAAAAAGACTCTAAATTCAAGTTGTCTAAACAGTAAGCTCAGAAACATGCCTCACAATTTAATCTGAACTCCACTGTCATTTTTTTTGTCTGCATATAGAATAAATGCATTAATACTCCCATGTTTTATCAGTAGAATTTATCCTCCAATAATCTTCCAATACTACAGAAGAACCTTCTATTGTTAAGAAAATAAACGTAAACTTTCCTGCGATCATGATTCTGCAGCAGTGCAAAATATCCAAACACTGATGAATTGAAAGCAAGTTGAAAAATGTGTGGAAGAACTCTGTACATATACTGATAAAACGGGTTATTTAAATCACTTCGCTATGATTATTATCATAATAACCCGTCAGCAAAGGTGATCATATACAAAATGATGTGAAAAGATTTTAAAAGCTTAGCTTATTACAAATAAGTCAAATACCTACATCAGAAATCTAACGTTATGGCTTCTGCATACAGTGAAGCTAATCAGAAGAAAAGGGTATGCTCAGATGCTATATAAGAATGACCACTATGTGGGGAGACTATTTCAGGACTAAGTTCTTTTTATTCCATAAGAATTACTATTCTGCTACAGGTACATTGGTCGATTGTCTTAGATAAAGACATTCATATCCCTCAGAAAACATTTCTCATTACACTAATCTACATTTGTTAAATGCCACACCAGACAATTGGTCACCTGATTGAAATAAACTTAGGGTCTCTTTACAGCAAGGTTTTAGAGATACTTCGGTTCACTAAGGACAGAGGTTTAGTTTGCAATCAAAGTTACTTTTTTTTTTTATTATTATTTTATTTGGGGGAGCCTATTTCCGGTTATTACTGCCTTATTACCAATATCAAAAAGATAGGGAGGGTAACTGGCAACAGATTGTTGCTGGTTTATTACTAAAATTAACCCCTCCCTTTTCTCCATACATTTCTCCTCCTAGCACTCTTTTAAACTTACCATAAAATTCTGTTGAAGGGGAGACCAAGAATACATTATAGGCACAGAAGCAACAGCATTGAGAGTCTTCAGTGGGATGACTTGTTTTGGAAAATCTATGTCACTGGTAACAGAGCACTGAAATAAGAGGTTGAAGTTATACTTACATAGCAACATCAGAAACAAAACGAAAAAAAAAAAAATCACAGAAAAACACTCTACAACATATAAAATTCAAAGTGTTTGTCAAAATTAGCCATATCAGCCTTTGAAAAATGCATCAGATTTTTAGGGCATAATAGTAATAATAGGTTTAGCAGAAAAAAAAGACGCAAGAATTATTTCTATGTCAATACGTTTGCTAATAGATCATGATGGTTTTTTCCACTTAATAATAAGTGGCTGTGATATTATTTTACTAAGACTATTCAACCTAGAATACAAATTATGTTTGGTATCTCAAAACAGATTTAGTACCTGTTGCTGCTACACTGATGTTAAAGTATTTACTCAAGCTATCAGAGAGGCAACTGAATTCCCCTGGCTTCAGATCAATACACTGCAGAAATCACGTATTATTTATGTTAAAAAAAAAAAAAAAATTACTTTAATGTCAGCAAGACGTCTTATGGAAATAAATCCTCCATATATCTTGTTAATTCCTGCCCTGTTTCCCCATTATTGTCTGCTTATTTTTATCCTATCCTCAAACCTTTGATTATGCTCACTGCTTACAACGGAAAAATGAAAGTTAACCCTTAATGTGCGACTCTGGACATGTCAATGAGTTTTTCAGCTACAGGACTTTTTTTTGGAGATTCAGAGGTTTATGTAGCCTCTAAAAGATAAACATGCCATAGAAATACAGACAACTTCTAGGTTATTCTTGCATCTATTCAACAGTTACAGACACAGATCAACTTTTCTTAAATACTTGGACAGCAGTATGAAGATCTCTGGAAAAAAAGTTACAAACAAAAGCAGACGGGAACATACAAAGCTAGGGGAAGTACAACAAAGAGGATTTGGAGGTAGGTAAAAGAAAGTTTAGAACAGCTATCATAGCTACCTGAAAGGAAAAAAGGAAGTGGAGACAAAAGATCTTTCTCCTTTCCAGAAGGGAAAGATGAACAGAGCTTCACATTTCTAAAGAAATACACAAAGTAATGTAACAAACAGTATACAGAGACAGTACCCCGGTAGAATGACACAAGCCAGATTTATTTATTTTCTTTTTAATCTGCAACAAATGAAATTAGATTTCTGCTGTGTATATCAATACTCAAGACATTGTCCTATGCTAGTGCTTTATACCCGTTTCAGGTTAATGTTTAATTTTCTAGCTAGCAGCCATCTAGTATATTTTCATGTATTTTTGAAGAAAAATACAAAAGTAAAAAATAATTACTTTTATCTTTGGAACTAGAAGTCTCAGGCTGACAAGTGAGCTATGTCAAAATGACTCAAAGTGTTTGGTACTAAATCTCAGCTATGTTGCCCCATTATTTTGGTATGGAACTCAGCTTAATATTTATTAGGCTAGCACAGGACATGTTATGGTCTCTGGTTGATGCTGACTGGACTACTCATTGGAGAAAACCTATGTCACCAGCGATGCCTTGCATTCTTCACCAAACACATGAAGGCTCTCACAAAACTGTTTCATCAGGTCACTAAACTTCTAGCCAGTGTCTTATGCAACTCTGAAGAAATTCAGCATATTAAGAAAAAAAGATTTTAAAGTAATCTTTTAAAACCCCCACCATTTCTTTGTCTTACTTCTCTCACTATAAATTATGGCAATCTTAAATCAAGCATTGGAGTTCTGATTCATGAGACAGAGACTGGATTTGAATGCAGTAATTAGTGTGCTCTATCAATTTAGGCAGGAAATCAATTCAGGCAGGAAATCAACATAAAAGAATAGTGAATCAAGCTACAAAAAAAAAAGGAGAAAAAAGAAAGGGATAGTGAGGAATGATCTTTTACTATCAAAAAAAGTGAAAATTGGATGTGTATCTGTGTCAACTATTATCAGATGTTCTGATCCTACAGTGCCATATAATAGGTATAGAGCTGTACATGAGTAATTGCATATTCAATCATGTTTAAAAGAAAACACTCAGGCAAAGGTCCTTGCGTGTTTGCATTTGAACATGCATGCACACAAATGCACCTCTGTGACACACACGCCCCTAGTTTCCCACCAGAATTTTAAGAGGAGGAAAATCTCACAAATTTCCTTGAAGAGAAAGTGGTTTGTTTTGGGGGTTTTTTTTTTTTTCAATCTGTTCACAACAAAGTCTCTTCATTCTCATCCGCTGAAAAGAGTTAGCTTTTCAGATTATTACACGTGAAACATCCTCAAACTGGCTTAGTCTGAAGAAGTGCCTAAAGGGCAACTGAGAAATATGATAAATTAACCTGGGCTGAATACAGAAAGTTGGAGTAGGCTTAAACCACTGTTCGAGCTACCAACATGAAAGCCAGTTTGGGTGCTCAAATTGCATCACAATCATGGAAGAGTTTTTCAGAAATTTAGCATCCAGTCTGCTTGTGCAACACAAGAGTGCATCAACTCAACTAACTCCTTTTAGAACCTCTGTAGTTAAATGACTTTAATTAATATAAAGAAGACTTTGTCAAGTGGGTAATGTTCACAGCTTTCACATGCTTTAACTCAGTAAGAACCAAAGTAACTACTCAAGTGTACCACTGGGGGTCAACTCCAATAGGAGCAAGATTAAACTCCCAATATCAGTGAGACAAAAAGATTTGATTAAAGGATGCTGAGGTATGATCCAAGTATTATCAGAAATAAAGGAGTTTCACTTTTGTATGTCGTTCAAAGTTAGGTAGTCTGTATTTATTGCTTTCCAGAAGTCATATGATCAAAGTAAATAATAAATAAATTCTTTATGAGACTCGTACAAAAAATATCTGCCAAGTCATGTCATGCTGGAAAAAAAAAAGAACAGCCAACTTTCCAGTAATAAAACAAAAACGTGCTAACAACCTTGTAAGTGGAATTACCACAACACATGTTAACCAACCTCCCTGGTCCCGCGCAATGAGCTCACAGAAGTCATGATGTGAACAGGCTGTATCCTACGTTGTTTCCACTCTTGATTTAAGATTTCAGTTCTTTCCAGTATCTTCTGACGATTAGAATTAAACATACTCTAAAAATTAATCACAATTGTAAACATTACAAGTAAATCAGAGACTCTAAATTCACCTGCTAGCATCTTAAGGAATTATAATATTTACTAAAAAAATAAACAAAACCAAACAGAATAAAAAAAAAGTGCTCAAGACTCAACTGTCCAAATTTAGTTTAGATGTCAGTGATGCTCAGTATAGTTCATTATCCCTTTCTTTGCCTCAAACCATGTTCTTATGTTTAGAGACTTAGAGGTTTAGCACGGAATTAAGTTCTAAATGGAATTAGAAAGAGTATGTGGCTAAAGAAGTTGCCATACTTCTTTAGTAGTATTTATTAGTTAGTATTTATTAGTAGTATTTATTTAGTTAGTTGCTCTCCACAGTCTCTTCTGATACTTAACATGCCTGATTCAATCACATATAAATGTATCATACCTGTTTATAAGATCACAGAGTTAAGACAAGTTTTCAGTACGTTAACAAAGTATTTAATGAAACTGTTATTGCAGGTGTTAACTGCAGGACAACTCATACTTCAGAAGAAAATCGATTTTTGTATCATTTTTTAAGCAATAGAACCAAAAGATGATATACCTTTACTTCATCCGCACGTCGGAACCTCTTGAGCTGCCTCAGTCTCATGTATTCTGATTTCACACGTTTCCGCCAACAAATTGGTCCCTTCTCAGATTTTTTTCCGGTTTGACCCATGATTATCCTACAAGAGACAATGTCATGTTAATATTACCAAATCTGACGCCGCTGCTTACTGAGGAAGTTAGAGTGAAGTTCGGTAGGATAGAGACATTCCTTTAATACCTTTCATATCTAATTCCTTTAATTCTTTTCAATCAGACACTTGTAATACCATCCCAATCCAACCAACAAAAAAAAAAAAAAAAAGAAAACATACTTAAGTGATAGACACCGAAAACCAGTAATTTTAATTACAAATCAGTGGGACCATTCACATTTGCTTTAAGCACTTCTAATGGCTCTATACAGAAAGGTACCTAATGGACTTAAAGGAGTGAAGCAGAACAAATCAAGATTCCCACTGCAAAGATACACACTGAACACATTTACACTGAACAAAAGGTAATAGTCTATGACAGCCTGACACCCTTGCATTTTTATGCAAGACATTAAATCATATTTTGTAAGAAAAATTGTTGGGTTTTTAGATTTAGAATGAAAATGAATCAACAAACAAATGGCAAAATTGCTGACCCAAATCATGGGAAGTATCCTTTGCGGAAAAAAGACAAAGCATATAAATAAGTTTCACATAATGCCCGAAGCACCTGACTAGACAGAGGAGGAGGATGGAGAACCAGCAGAGGAAGGTAAATCTAGAGCAAAGTGTCAAACACAGCTGTTCTGGTTCCACGCCTCAAGGCAGCAAGTACAATCCACCTGTATCTCATTTACCACACCACCAGTGGTTACAAGAGAAAGAGATAAAAATAAAATAAAATAAAAAAGAAAAAAAAAAATCCCAGACCATTCATGTTAGAGTATGCTAAAGAGAATTAGTGATTTGAAGTGCATTACGATATTGATTAGAGGACAGCATAAAAGCATTATAAAGTACAGAAAATGCATTGTATTATATGCTAAACTATGCCAAGCAAAAATATAGAAAAACATCCCATTAACTGGAAATAAATTAGACATAGAATAAATATCATTAAATAACAGAAAGACAGAACCTCAATTTGTAAGTAATACAGAACATAAAAATCACCTCAGTTAAGGTTCAGCCAAAAGACATGGAAAAAGTACCAATGAATTCAAAAGATAAATGAAAGCTCAGCTGACAATACTGAAGTAGCATATCCTATTAAAAAAACCCCACAGATTATGTTTGCTTACTCTAATACTGCATCAACCACAGCAGTTGGTTATTCTTATAGTTCTTATTCTAGTTTCCTGGAGAATAACAAATGACTCGGGCTTAAAAAAAAGCTTTCTCAACTAAAATTAAATTGCCAGATAAGCCCTGCTCATGAAAAGCAGATCTACATGGAAATCATATATAATTAGATTAAAAACAACAACAAAACAAACAAACAAAAAACAACAGAATTCCCATCTTTCTCTCATACAACTGAAATACAGCCCCCAGAAGACCCCACAAAAGGATTTAAGACCTGAGAGAAATATATCCCCATTGAACAAACAAATCCAATCTATTCAATTTTTCAGTAATGAACATCATTGTTACCTGTTGTATTAAAATGGTAAGAAAAACAATACTTCACAAGAAGATAAATACTTCCTTTTAAAACAGCATAACTTATGCACCCTCAGGTCATTCATCTGAAAACAAGTGGGACTTACAAGAACACTCTTCTCTTGCACTAGTTTCAAGCTGCTATCTAGGGCACAACACAGACGACAATTTAATGTTCAAATAACAAATGCACCAAATAACAAATCATAGAAAATGAAAAAATGCACTGTTGCTTATGTCAAGTTATAGCAAGAAAAAGTTCTTCTAGAAAAAGTAATAATGTTAATGTGCAACAGTCAGTGGGATACACACAGAGCATTAAGTCAAATATGTATAAACAAATTAGAAACGGCCTCTTAAATGGCAATTCCATATTAAGAGAAAAAGCATTGAGTGGAAAGGAAGCATACGCATGTATAGGTTATAGAAAAATTATGGCTAAGAAAAAAGCAAAATGTCTTGGATGCATGTTTGTAGAATATTAATCTTGAAAATCCCTGAAAATTTTTTAATGAATTCTGATTTTGAGCAGCAGTTTTTCAAACCGAGTGAACCGTATTTGTATGTTTCTGGGCAGTTGAACATCACCAAAGTAGAATTACAGTGCTGTTAACACATGTACTGTTGTAAGAGGTAATTGTTTTTCTGCCCCTAATCTCAGAAGAAAGCATGGGAAAAAAAAAACACAAGACGGGGGGCAGGGAGAGAAAAGCATATTCGTAGCAGACAGAGTTAATTCTCACAGTGCAATTGATCCATAATCTTCACATTAGGACTATAGCCAAATGCCACTGACAATTTCTAATGTCAATTCAAAGGTTGCCCCAAAACCTATACATTTAAGAAACTAAACCTGAGAAACTGGGACAAGAAGTTTCACAGGCAAGGACAGCCCATGCTGGGTCAGGGCTGGGGGAGCAAAAAATAAGACAGAAAGATGAACTCTTACAGAAGGGTGCTGGACACTACCTCCATCCCTGAAAGGAAAAGTAATTTGGAGAACTAAAAGACTTCAGGGAAACATCAACATAAACTGAATCTCTGGGGCAAATTCAGGATTGTAGATGCTGTCTCAAGCCACTTGCACTAGTACCTATGTGTAAGAAAAACCTTTCCCAAATCACTTTCTTCCACCATTTCTGCTGTTCACATTCATAAGTACTCTGAGCTGTAATAAACTACAGAGTTTTCACTTTGCTAAAGAAGAAAAAAGCCTATACATTTTCATTAAATTACGTTGTATGGTATTTGCAGCTAGGATTGCAGAGAAAAGCTAGTGAATTTTAAGATCAATTTGTCAGAACTAGTCAACTTTTCATGTAACGTTTCAGAATATTTCCTACAGTAGCACAAGTGGCACAAGCTAAATCCCAGCCGTCTAAGAATAGTTAAGCCTGTCTTAAGAATACAGCATAATGTTAAACAGTTTCCATTTAATAAATAAAAACATGATACTGGATTGTCTTAGTGCAATGGTTTGATTCTGAGAGCCCCCAGGCCATGTCCCTCTTCTCTGTCCCGACTTCCCCTTCTGAATCCTGCTAGCTGTTTCTATTGTTTTAAAATCTTTTTCTTTACCATTTTTCATCCTCTTCATATGAAGGGCCTACAGGAACCATCTAACCACCAAAGATCCCACTCCCGGGAACTTTTATCCAAAAGAAAGAAACTATGTAGCAGTCAACTCAGTTATTTATGGGAAGATTATCTCATCTCCAAAATAGATACAAAAAAGCAAGTATAACTCTAAAGCAGTTATACTGTTTCTAGAGAAAGCTCATCTCCCAACGCGCAGAATGACTTCCATGCAAAACCGGAGCTAACCCTGCCAGATCTTACCTGTCATCACACTAAGGACAGAAACCTTGCCATATCTCCCTGCACCCTCTCTGAAGAAGAGGGAACACTGGGAAATGTGGTGAGACATCCCAAGCCATTCTAGCGTCAACCCGGTACAGCCACAGATGGACAGACTGTCTCATTCAAACTGGGCAATCACCCCGATGCCACAGCAAGCAAGGAGATGCGTGTGCCACACTTAAATGCACAGGCTTAACACCTTGGGCCCAAAGCTGCACTCAACCCAGCCAGCCCTCCCGGAGCACAGCACTGCAGAACTGAAGCGACCCCATGCTGCCTGTTCCATACATACAGCTGAGCATTGCTACGCTCTGCTCGCCAGCTCTCATACCACCCATATTTTTCCATTACTTCCATTACTTTCCATTACTGTAATATTACAGCTACCTAATTCCCTGAGCTATAGAGTATACCCATGCACAGTATACCTAAGTGTATGTGTAGAACTGGACATTAGATAATTATACTAATGAGAGGACCAATGTAATTCTAAACAGACCACCATCAATACAAGAAAAATAACAAAACTAACACTTCTTTTTGACCAATAAGGAGTTTGAATTATGGTATTAGGAATGAGACATACTGAACCCACCTAAACACTGATTTTGAAAAACCCTACAAGAAAACAAAAACAAACACATAGCTATTCTTTTCAATTTCTACTCATGCTTGCATAGCTGGAAATGAAAAACAACAAAAAATGGCAGTGTCCTAGAGCATATACGTTTGCGTTTTAAATAAACTCTGCTGAGCATTTCATAATGAAGTTATGTACAAGATCCGCATTCTTTACAATAATTTTTAAAGAAACTTCATGCCTATAAGCTTAAATCAGCCAATACTTACTTTCAGCAGCCAAAGTGTATACAATACATCTAGAATTCACAATGAGAGACAAAGAAGCGTAGAAAAATTTCAGCTCAAATTGCTCTTGTTTTGCCTACAGAACATAGAAATAGCCTTATTTAAAGACAACGTCCTATTTTTCTTCGATCGTTTTGGCAATGCCCATCAGTGACAGACAAGCACACAGATAATTCTCTAAATTAGGCAGTCTATTCAAGCAGTCATACTCCTGTCAAAGACTATATTTAAGCTCCTCTGGCTACCCTGCCAAATTTCAGGAAAAAAAAAATTTAATGAAAATTTTCAAACTGGAAAGCATGGGAGAACAAATGAGAGGATCTTCCCTTTTAAAAGAATGCTATTAGTTTTTAATTGTGCTTAATATTACACAACAGTTTAAACTGTAACGGTATTACATTATCTTCCCTCTACTCAGGATTTCTGTTTGGAGATATTTATGAATTAAAACATACTGTGTACAGTATAACTTCTCGGTTCTTTTTTGTGAATTAATCTACACTGAAAAGGTTATTAATATACTTCAAATATATGCATACACTGATACAGTACTGTACTTAAGAGCACTCTTAACCAACAGATTCAATGCAGGGGGAGGGGGTGGAGGGTGACGATGGGGGAGAATATAAAACCCAGCAGAGAAACTGCATATGCAACCTGACACAAACTGAACAATAAAATAAGTGACCATGTTTTTTGTTGCTTAGAGTAATGAAAGAGTAATGAAGGAATAAAATAATTCAGATGGG